TGATTTACCTTGATCAGCTCTGACCCTCATAAGCACCAACATTTCTGACCTTTCTGTTTCCTCTCACAACTTTCTAGTAGGTCCCATACCCATATTTACACATGACCTGTACCAGGCTTTTGCTTTCTTCTGTTCCTTCACCTCATCACCTGCTGCATGGCAGATTATCAAAAGCTGCCCTGTTTCATCTCTGAAAGCATCTCCCAGCCTCAGCACAGAGCTCCCCGGCCAAAGAAGGCACAAGTGTGCAGGTCCTGGCACATCCTGTGTGCTGGGTGACTGTACTAAACAGTAACATAACAAATACATTAAATAACACAGTAATAAGCATGATGACAATAATAAGCACAGTTAACTGTTTGGGTCCTTGCTTACTTTGTAGTCCTTGCTGAGAGGTTCAGCTGTTAAAGGCTGTGCTGCATTATAACATTGCCAAGATATTAATAGCCAGGCAGGGAGATGAATGGCAGGCTCCCACTGCACAATTAAAACTTTTTCAGTTTACCCTTTCAGTAAAATTTGTGGTTTATAATAAGCATCTTTGTCTATTCTGAAGAGAGTAAGAATTGGAAAGTTACATGGATGGGAACAGAGGTTCATTAAAGATTTAAAATAGAATGTGGTTTGGCATTGTAAAATAAACATGTGTATAAGATGGGATGCATCAAGAGCTGCCTGAAAGAAGTGCTCAGTGTTCCTTTTCTCTTGTGATCCTGGATCTACTGATCACGCTACCCACAAAAAGGGAGGAAAAAGCAGCAGGGATAAAACATGCATGCTTGCTTCCAACAATGTGAAAGTCTGCTCTATATCTCCACTCATGATTCCTTTCTCATACATATATCTATAGGGTGTAAATATATATATACACACATAGAAGTAATGCATGCATTTTATCTCTCATGCATCCCAATATTCATCAACATATTCAGATGCTATATTACTGAGTTTTTTCACCCTAGAACCGAAATCCCCTTATTATAGAGCAAACACTTACTGACTTGTAGAGACCCAGTGAGCATTTAAACATTCAGAGAACATACAGGTTATCTGTTTAAGTTTAACTTAGAGCACAGAACATTCCTGTTTCTCAAACATATGAGGAAGGCAGGAAGGAAACAGATAAAAAGCATTCCTTCAAAGACAAGATTTGAGTAAAAGGGTTAACATTACCAGGTAATTTATTTATACTGTTGGACACAGCTTCAATTTAGATAAAAGGCAGATGCTTATCGCATGGATTTTAATAAATCAGGTTAGAAGTCACAGTTAGAAATCTGTGAAAGCTGGATCTCGAATGGCAAGCAATGCACACAGACTGTGGCTTTATTTACAGAGTTTCTGGGAGTTACTGATCCCTCCTGGAGTCAGGCAGCCCCGCCAGCAGCGAGAGCTGCCCTGTGGTACCAACATTCCTTGCCAGCAAGCACCTACAACCAGGCCACTAATCCTGATGATTAACAAAATCTAGCACTAGAGGGAGGCTGAACACATGTTCTGCTCTCTTGGCCTTTTCAGCTTCTCCACACATTAAAAGGCAGGTGATTTAAAGCAAGCCCAGCACCAGCAGGCAGAGCCCAGCCACTGAACAGGAGATGAGCTATTTAAGGCAGCAATCCCCAATGGCAAAATTCATGCTCTCTCCTCCCCAGCTATTTGCCAAGATGTGCACCCAAAATTCAGAAGTGAGCTTTTAAAAAAACAAAACAAACAAAAAAAACCCCAAAAACCAAAACCAATTCCTGTGTCCTGGCTGTTCCTTCAGCCAGTGAGTCAGAGCCCACAGAGGCACCACCGCCGCCGCTCGCGGGGAGCGGGGTCAGACACAAAACACCTGGCAGCCTCTCCCCAGCGAGGATGAGGCTCTCACACCTATCAACACATTCCCACCTTCTCCCAGCTCCGAGGAGCAGTGAGACGGGTCTCGGAACAAGAGGAAGGCACACACGCCTCCAGAACGCGCTGCAGCCTCTCCCCTTCCAAAACTCCTTGGCAAGAGGAACTCGAGCCCTTTGGCTGATTTTCTGCACATCACAATAGGACAACACCACTGGAGACTTCAGTAGCTCTGAATGTGGGCACAGTTCCCTGCCCATGTCACTGCAGTCCTGCAGCCCCTACAAACATAGAGGTTATAACAAGAACTGCTGTATTAAAATTCTTTATATTGCACTTCATGCAACTATTCAAAGTCCAATTTTTTCTTCACTTTAACCCCCAACCTAAAGCCACTTTTTCACATCTGCTTTGATATATCCCAAATTGTTCCTATGCTCAGGCACTGATGGTGTTTAGTCATTAATTTGCAGTTATTACAGTGATGAGGCTCTGGGATGTAGCAGGCAGAACTGCTCTGGGACACAGGAGATCTCGGTCTTATTTTTAGTCTGCTGCTGGTCAGCCTGATGACCTAGGCAAAGCACTTTCCCTGCTCCAGCTTCCTTATCATGAAGAGAGTGGTATTTCTTTTGTCAAGTGTTTTGTGGCCTGTCAATAAAAGCCACACTGATAACAGCTGGGGGCTGCTGGGAAAGAGGTGCCATCCCAGCTCAACACAATCCTCTCCTTCCCATGCTGTGGCAGCATCTCAGATCCCAAAAGAAAATCAGACCCATCTGCAGATGCAGCACATGCAGGTAATTAGTAGAGATCTCTAAATGGATGTTTTCCCAAGGTGGCCTTTGGCAGGTTGGCAGCTGAAGGTCACATCTGCCTTGAGCCACCCAGATCCTGCCCCAACATGAAATGCTGGGCTCTGACCCTCCCCTTTAGATAGAACCAGTAATTTCAAAGCCATAGCACCCATGACTCCTGAGACAGCCTTCACAAGGACAAGGCATGGGACAGGAATTGGATTTTCACACAGCTGTGCAGCCCTGCCTGGCTAGGAAGGAAGGAATTGCCAGAGCCATGAGTGAGGGTCCCTCTCTGTGAGCAAACAGGGTGCTTGAGAGGCAGCTGATGAGAATTTCTCACTTTGGCTTTCCCTGGCCTGGGCAGATGCCTGTTTTGAAACTAGAAGGCAAAAACATAATAAAAATCTGCCTCCCTCCCTCCCAGATCTATCTATTTCCCTTTGACAAACAGTGATTTCATTTTTCTTCCCGTCCAAAATTTTTTTTTCTTTCTCTTTCAAACTGAGCCCAGGCCAACGTGGCAAAAGGCTCTTTGCTCATGTCCTTATTTGTTAAACACGCCACCACCACGCCCTCAGCACCATTCTGGGAACAAGTCCTTGCCTTCCCCCGCTGCAGCCAAAGGGGAACTTCCCAACACAACTCTCTCCCAGCCCAAACACACTCTTTTAAAAATAAATATTGCCTTTTCTTTCCTTTTTTTAAAATTTTCTAAAAAAAAAAGGCATTCCAGTTAATAAGAAAAGGGTTTAAATTTCCTTCCCCTTTCCTCCCCACAGCCCTGCTGTGAATCCAAATATGACAGATCTAGATGGGAAAACAGAAATTACAAGAAAATGCCAGATCTATCACTAAGGTATTTTATGATCCAGCCCTCCTCTAATTTCCATCAGAGCATAAGTCAGATACTAAAGTACCTTTTTGGATCTGATCCTAAGTGGCCAGTTCCACTGTCCAAATAGAGATCCAGAGATAAACAGGTCTATGAAAACTGGGTATTATTTTAACTGCTGCTCTTAAGCTACAGCTTAAACTGCAATAAGCTCTGCAGCTTTCAGCCCTCTGGTAACAGTAACACACAAACTGATAATAAACTAAACATTTATCCTGCTGTCCTCATCAACTTAACACCTAGTATAAAAAGCTTTACCTGGAGCCCCACAGCACACATACTTCATAAGCTGTCATCAGCTCTGCACTATCCAGAGAGAGATTTCTGATGTAAAATGGCTGATTTGATGGAACAGAGGAATTTCAAACTCTGGAGTAGTTCTGGAGGGCTCTCACTAGGTCCACAGGGGCCAAACCACCCAAACAGCAGCCTCAGGTCTGGGCAATGCTCAGGAACTGGGTCTGCTGCCCCAGTGCTTACATTTAGCAATGGGGAAACTGAGGCATGGAAATTAAATGGTCTGGCACTGGAGAGCAAAATCAGCCTCTTGCAGCCCAATACAACACATGTTCACAAGATCACTGACTCCAGACAACCATGTCCTCACAGCAGAAGGAACACAGTCATCATTTGTTCTGCTCCTTTAGCACAAGAACGCCTGTCCACAGCTGAGAAAATTACTGTGTTTGATGCACAAAGGCATTGGGCAGCTTTCTCCAGCACCACCTGCCCTTTCCCTCCTCTCTTGGGTTTTACATCTTGCTTCAGCATGACTTTTGCTGCTCCTGAAGGATAAGGAGCTGATCTTGCAACACAAAACCCTGCTGGCTCCTGACTTTAGCCCTGACTTTTGCCTGCTCCTGATCTCCTACAGAAAATGGAAGGGAAAAGGGAGAGGAATAGGTGACCTCTCTGATCTCAGATGAAAGACAGGGAAAGGCAGGGAGCTCTGTGTGCTGCATGAGAGTGCATTTGGGATGGTGACAGGCAGGACTGCTCAGGTACAGCTGCTGGGCTCCCCTTCCCCTGAGCAGGATTCCATGCAAAGGAATCATGCTCTAAGCAAGCTCTTGCTAAAACCCAGCATTGAGCACAGTTCCAGCCCCAGTTCTATAAAGCCAGAGAGAAAGGGTGTGACAAACAGCAACCCCATGAGTTCAGAGGGAAGAGCCGTCCTGCTGAGTGGCTCTACCAAGGGGCACAGCCTTGGTGGTTCAGGGACACTTGTGGAGCCATGGCAGGAGTGAGCTCCTTTCAATAAACACACCAGGCCCTCTCCTTGGGCGAAGGGGGAAGCCTGACCCTGGGGAATCCTGTGGGGCACCACGGCCCCTTCCTGCTGCCCAGGCTGCTCCATGCAGGCAGTGCCTGCCTCTGCCAGGAGCGGCTGCTCCACGGCTTCCCAGGGCTCTGGAAGCTCCCTGCTCCCATGGGGGCCACCCTTCTCAGAGAGATGAAAGACAGAACAACACTTGCTGGGGAATTACTTCATTCCCCAAAGGCTGGGAAAAGCCATGCTCTGCACTTGGCAATGTCCCTGACTGCTGCAGCCTTTCCTGGCAAGGGAGAACACAATCCCCATTAACCCATTCCTGCTCAAAGGCTGCTTCCAACACTTGTGCCCATTGCAGGAAACACTGAGGCTTTGCCATCCCAGTAAGCCAATGAGGGAGGGGAATGTTTTGTTTTTCCCAAGGCACAAAGCAGACAAAGTGAGTCTACAGTTGGTGAGAGGGTCAGAAACTAAGTCAGGTCCTTTGAATTCTGTTTAATGCCTGCCTGCTGGTCTACTGCCATATTCAAACCCACCAAGGGATACAGGACTGCCACGATTCTTCCAGGGCCATCAAGGGCAGCCCCATGTGTGTGGATATGTGGTTACACAAGTCCCAACAGCCTCAAACCTAGACCATGCTCTCTTTGTTCTCACTACTTCCTACAGAAGGCTCTTCCAGATCTTTGGAGCCCCAGAGCTTTGAAAATTTCTAAACACCAACACAGAGGTACTTCTGGCAAGCTCAGCCTCTTCTATTCCTGCACCAACACCCACACAGAGCTGAAATACAGGTTTATTCCCCAAGCGTATTTCAAATTTGCAACCAGATCCATCCTCAGCCTTCCTTTTGCTCAGCTAACAAGACACTGGGAAGATCAGCTCCTCAATCCTTGATCACTTTGACTGCCTTGTTCCAGAAGTCTGAATGCATTTCTCCAGAATGTGCCTGAGCAAACAGAAACCCGGCACTCCAGGCAAACCTGCAATACCTGCACAAAAGCGTTCATATCTTGTTAAGGTGCTCAAGGCCTGTCCATATTCACTCTGGACATGCTAGCATCACCTGAAGCATCTTAGAAGTTGCATTTCCATCCAGGTGGCCGATCTAGAAGATCCAAGCCAGCAAAAAGAGGGTGAAAAGGGTCTCAATTACATCACTGTAGCCTGGGCCAGGGCTTATTTGCTTCACTTAATTTTAGGCATCTAAACAAAGCACTTTCAGGATCAGATTACTGCCCTAAAGTCTCTCCACAGTCCATGGAAGGAGAGGGCCATTCCAGAAAACAATTCATTCTGGGAAGGTTCCACTCCCATCCGCCATCACAACGACAGAAGGCAATTAGTCTCCTAATTCAAGCCGGATGGGAAAAATCCTTTAATAGCCCAGCAAGTTTTGAATGGAAATACTCTCTGCTTGGGAAACACAGCTTGCTAAAGCTGACTTCTTTATTCCTGACCCATGATTTTTAACCAGAACTTCGCCACCTCATTGTATTATCATTCATTCATTTCCACAATTTCTGGATCAGTTCTGCACAAATGACAAAATTCTTGTCTTCTTACCTGTACATTGTAAGAAACATCATCCAGAGGGGGTGGGGGGGGAAAGGCACCTTGTGGTGATGTGATGTTCCCAAGGTCATCCACCGGAGGGGGAGGGGGAGGAAGGAAGTCCCCTAGGAGAGAGAATGGGAGAATTTAAACTCAGCAGCGTGTCTCCACATCATGACGTGGATGGTCAGGAGGAACTCCACAATACTCTTAGCTCTGCCCATCGGTTTTGTGGCACAGGACATAACATATTATTTGACCATTAAATGCTCAGCTTCACCCCTCACTGCTTCAGGAAACGGCTACACAGCTCAGTAACACTGGCAGATGGCTTAGGTGTACTCAGATTCCACAGCAAAAGGTGATGTGCCACAAAGCCTGAAGGCACCAACAAGCAGCTCCACAGATCCGAGTCACATCTCAAACCTACCACAGGCAACCACAGAACTTGCACTAATGAACAGCCTGTGTCTAACCTTGCAATGGACCCCATCCAATTCACCTCCCTCATGTGCTAAACTATGCCAACTCTTCTTGATTCCTACAAAGGCAGCATCATGAGCTGTCCAAAAGCAGGGATTCCCTGCTGCAAAAGACACACAGAGGGCTGGAGCCCAGAACCCAGGCCAGCCCATCTCCTGCAGCCCTGCTGCTGGCAGGCAGATACACTCTTTGCATTTTCCTCTTCCTACAGGGAGTTCACAGCTTCATGTAAAGAACTGCTGGGAAGATCACAGGCTCTTCTCAGTGACAACAGCCACATGATGGGCCAGGTGCAAGCACACGTGAATCCACCTCTCCTCACTCTGGATTTTTACAAGGGGGCTGATGTACAAAATTTCTAGAATAGAACTTGCTCATGTTTATCTTCCAGAAGTGCTGATGGGAAGACAAAGCAGCAAATATTGGCTGTGAAGCCATCCAGCTTGGCATAGAGATGGGAGGTGGGAGCAGAGAGAAGGTCTCCTTGAGAATTTCATGGGATGTGGAACCAGAAAGGAGAAAAAAATCCAGGACAGAGCAGCACAGGCTGCAGGAGCAGGATAGCAAGCTCTGAAAGCACCTCCTAATGGTGGAAAAGGAGCATTTGCCATTAGCACTGGATTTGTCTCCAGGGAAGGCAGCTGCCTGCAATTTGGACCACTTTGGTATGTTTTTATTTCTTCCTATGAAGATTGATGCTGCAAGCAGAGCTGTTTGCTGTTGGCTCTTGTGTGTGCAGCATCTGGGATGGAAGGTTTCAGATTAATAAAAGTGTGATTTCTCACATATATAGGAACTGTTGCTTTTGGAAGGAAATATGAGCTCCCTGCTTGACCCTCCAGATCTCCAGGCAGCATCCCACTGTGTCCAGGCCCGAGGCCCTCAGCAGCACCCCTAAAGGCCAAGGAGCAGCTCCAAACCTCTCAGGAAGGTGCTGAGCCAAACCCCTGTGACCTGCAGCCTTCTGGGCCACCTGTGCCAGGTTTGAAGCCCTAGGCTCAGCCCAGAGCAGGCACAGGCACCAGCTGGGCAGCACAGCCAGCACAACACTTCCAAGCTCTCTGCCATGGGAAGCAGATGGGTCTGCAGCCCTCGAAAGTTTTTCTCTTCTATTTTGAATTACTCTTGAAAGACACAAACTTCCCCTAGGACTTTCAGAGATGTTATTTAACAGGAAAGTAATTTCTTCCCATTTTCCCCAAAATGAGCATGGATGGGACTCAAAAACCCCCTTCTGAATCCCTAAGAAAGTATCGTCCTAAATACAGATGCTCAAAGACAGCTCAAAAACAACAGACTGAAAACTAATTTAAGACAATCATGTTGCTCCAATACATAAAATCCCATGAAACCCACTGGCTCATGCTATTATAGAGTTCAGAATTGATTTTTTAAAAAATTATGTCAAATAATATCTGCAGTATCTTCCTCATTGCCCGATAATTAAACCAATCTTTTATTTCAAATAATGTGAAATACAATACCAAATAAAAAGAAAAGTAGAGAGATTTTGAAATTAATATCTTAGGGGTTAGTTCTAAAAAAATGCTGGGATATTTGAGTGCTTCTTAAACTTTTCTCCTTTGCTCTGTAAATGACCCTCCAACCAGCCAACATGATTTTGCAAACAAATCCAACTCCAATGAACAAAGACTTCTCAAGATTATGCTTTAGATGATGTTTTTCAGTCAGTCCTGGCTCCGATGCCTAAGACTGATCTCCCTGCACAGCACATTAGTCAGACACTCTTGCTTTATTACAATCCTTCAAAACACCTAAGGAAAATCAAGGTAAAGAATGTGCTGGAGGAGATGAGACAGGGAAAGGGCCAGGTTTTCTGCATAATCAGGAGTCTGTATCTAACAATAACCATTAGAATAAACATGAACAAAACACCATTTTTGCCCCTTTGGAAGACCCACTCCTCTTGAAAGAAAAAAAAAAAACAAAACATTGGCAGGATTTTTCAGAAAAGGAGCGAAGGACAAGAGCTCTCTCCTAGAGTTTGGAAGAAAACACTTCTTTGCAGTAGGAGACAGCTGGCTCCACCACATCCCAGCCCAGCTCTGCTGTCTCCATCCTGTGTTAGATAAGCTGCTGGCTCCACTCTCCCCACTAGTGGGAAGGTTTTTAGACTGGGAAGCAGAGAGCAGATGCCTGATGAACTGGGGGGACCTTGCAGATGTTTGGCCTTTTCCTGGTCCTCTGTGAACAGATGGACCTTTCTCCTTCACAGCTTTAGTTATTTATTCTGCCACTGCGCCTTCCTCTTTCCCACACAGCCACGGGACCCAGTGCTGTTCCCACTGCACTCACAGGAGAATATTCCCTTGGATGCAGAAGGGAAAGCTGTCCCTGCACTATTATTATTATTATTGGCACTGCTGGAAGTCTCCCTCCGGCAGAGAGGGAAGCATGCAATGACCAAAATTCGTGTCCTCAGCAGCATAATGATTCTAGATGGTGTGGGGAAGAAACATGTCTAGGTTTGAGGGAGCCAAAGAGGAAAAGAGCCTGAAAGCCAGCTGACACTCCCTTCAGGCACAGTGTCCCTACAGTGCACCTTTGCCTTCTCTTACCCCCAGAGCTCTGCAAGTCAGATTTCACTTACTTAGACCTGGACAAGCCATGGGAGGAGGCAGGGAAGTCCATGCCAGCCACTGCTGACCACCTTCAGTGTCACAGAGCGAGGTGGGAGCCATCTGGGCAAGGGACTGTCCCTGGTCTGCACACCAGCAGCCACAGCAGAATGGGGCACTGGGGTTACCAGTCACCCATGGGCTGGGGGAGGACACATCCCACCCTGAGCACTCACCCCCTCCTGACTGATTTAACAAGGCTGTCCCTCTGTCAATAAGGAATAAGATGGGCAAAAGGCTCATTAATATTGATTATTGTTCAGCACCAAGACCAGCATTTTGATTGACTTTCACCTGACATCATCCTGAACACTTGGATGTATTCCAGGTTGTGAGAGTGACTGCACTGAGTTCTGTCAACAGAGAGGTATCAAGGCACCTCCAGAAAGCAATTTGTACTTCAAGGCAGGCAAAGAGACTTGCCTTCCAATGGCAAATCTCTCCATGAAGGTAGGAAATCACACCAAGACACAAACTGCCTCCAGCTCTTACAATGAGAAATCTCCACCTGTTACCATATGTTTAAGAAGAGAAAATAAACAGTCCTTGTTGCACCAGCTACTCATTCCCCCTTCATACAGCTGTGCAGACCATGAGTCAACCTATGAAGGAGTTGTGCAGTGAGACACGTGCCCAGCTTGGTTATTTCAGATGCAGCGGCGCAACGTGCCGTGAAACCACAGCCCTGAGCTCTTCCCTCAGCCCCCGTGCAGCTCCTGCACTGCAGCATCACCCACTGCAGCCAGCAGGGACGGGACTGCCAGCCCGGTAATAAAAACCCCACCCTCGGGCCCACCCTGAGCAAGAGAAAACTTGTATGGTGCAAATACAAGTAATTAGGCAGAAATTAGTTGAGTCCATCGCGGTTATGGTGGGAAGCAATAGCAGAGCCACTGGCAGAAGTGATGCCTCCCAGGCCCCCAGTCTGGCTTTTGGCTTCAATCAAATCTGTGCCATTGTAGTTGCACTTGCAAGGTTTTACCCCTCTCCACCCCAAATTTCCCCTCTTACACATTCTAAGGAGCTTTAATAATTTCACCGTTACACTTTTAAGTACACAAATATAAAATTGTTCAAAGCCCTAACAGACACGTACATCAGCACAAACCTGTCAGGGTGAATAGAAGCTCACAAAATCTTTGCCACTGGCTGCCTGACGCCTTCTGGGTACAAGTACGAGCTAAGAAAAACATCCTGCCTCACACAGCAAACACCATTCTCACTTACAGGCTAACCTTTAAAATTTTAAGTGCACTTCATTTTTTGCTGGATCAAGCTCATGTCTCAAGTCTTTGTTTTCAGGAGATATATCTGCCAGCCAACAAATGAACTGCAGCACAGTAACTGCCTCCCCCCCTTAACAGACACAGTAGTTTAGACATGAAGATTTGCGGCTTTGAAACTTCTAGACTAGAAGAAGGGTTCACATGTTCAGTAAAAGAGATTCTTTGGGGGGAAAAAAACAGAGAAACATGAAAAAGCAAAACACCGTAATTTTCAGGGAAACAATAAGTTAATGAAACCTATTAAACAAAAAAATTGGGTTTACACTGGTCTTCCCAGACTTCTGGCTGACATCTGATGACGATATATGTCAGATGCTGATTTCAATTTTCTCCTTTCAAGCAAAAATAATCCTTTCTGACTATAATCTTGATAATTTCTGATTCTGAAGCTGGTTCAGAATCAGTTTGAATCACCTGAGAAACACAGTTCAGCCCCGACTCAGAGACCAGATTAAGGACAGTGATGGAGTGAACCCCACTGATGTGTTTCCATTCTGATCCAGACTCCATTTGGCAAAGTACTGAGCAGACAGAGGCACTGCTTGGTCAAGTATTTACCTTCTACTGCAGAAAGCCAAAGCTTTTGACATTGAAACAATTAAGATTTGCACCTAAACCCTAATTCATTGAGCACTAGGCTAAAATCCTATTGATGCAGGTTACCATGAACCTGCAATCCACAGTGACCACTGCAGGAGCCTGCAGAATATCCCAGTA